AAGCCTTTTATCTATTGCTGGGCACCTAAGTCTCTCACATATCTTAACTGTTATGAATGAATAGTGCTGCAGTAAATGTGGGCCTGCAGGTAACTCTTTGTAATGTGGACTCTAGTTCCTTGGTGTATATTCTCGGACTGTCTTTAGCTTTTTGAGTGGCCTTCATAATGTTTTCTTGTTACAGAGTTGGGGACCACCGAGCAAAACTACCCAGACTTAGAAAGTTCCAAATCAGCTGAATTTATTTAGCTAGCCGATTTAGGGAGTGTTGCCCTAACTGGGAGGTGCTGGGAGCTTTGTAAAGGTAAAGTCCAAAAGGCAAAGTCCTTGATACAAGATTTAAGCTTTTACAATTTTATCAGAATTTTAAAGAGAAATCCCCAGGGCAGGCAGGCTGACAACCCTGGCAGCCGCCTTAAGGAGGATAAGGGTGGGGAGGAGGAAGGAAAGCAATGAATCCTGCAAGTTTACCGCCTGCATGGGGGTCAGACTGTGGCTGGCTGGGAGAAGGAAGCTTAGGGAAAGTAGAGAAATACAAGATGCTTGGGTTAGCCCAAAGCCTTAATAAAAGCATGTTTAGTAAAAGGGTTATAGAGAAAAAGGCAAGATTATGCTTCTCACAAGAATTCAGAGAAGCAGGAAAACTCCTGATTTACATGACTGTAGCTGGTCCAGAAATTCTGTGCTAGGAAGCAGGATTCTAAGCAGGAAAAGTTCACTATCTCATTAACACACTAGGTGTTGGCCTATCTATTTAGCATAACTTAAGGTGAACCCACCTTCCTAGGGGTGGTCCTATGACCAGATGATTGACCAGTGAAACTTAGGGATATTACACTCAGTAATACCTATGCTGATTTGCATTCCCAGCAGCATTCCTTTAGTTCTGTAGCATCATAGCATTTATTTTTATTTTTAAATTTATTTTTATTTTATCTGTATGTGTGTATTGCCTGTGTGTATGTAAGTGCACCCATGTTGTGCAATGCCTACAGAGGACAGAAGAGGCTATTGGATCCCCTGGAACTGCAGTTATGGATAGTTGTTAGCTGCCATGTGGGTGCTGGGATTTGAACTCAGGTCTTCTGCAAGAACAGCTAGTGCTCTTAACTGATGAGCCATCTCTTCAACCACTCACAGTATTTCTTAATGTTTGCTTTGGGAAAAAAAGAAAGGTTTTTCCCTTCCCCTCTGTAATGGCAGTCACAGTGCATGTAAGATCACCTGCTTAGTGATGTTCTGCAGTTTTCATTGGTTCTGCTCATTTTCCTTTCTTTTCTTCAGATTGTATACTTTGTAGAATTATCTTCAAGTTCATTGTTTCTTCTTCCTGCATATCTTCTATTGAAATACTGTTATAACATTTTAAATTTTAGTTTCAGTATTTTACAATTACAAAATTTCCATTTTTCATAATTTCCGTTATTTTATATTCAATAAGCTATTGTCATTTTTTTCTTAAAGCATTGTATTTTTGTTTTAAAATCTTGGCCATATTTATGATAGCTGTTTTGAAATCTTTGACTCCCATCTGAGATGTGAGCCCTCTCAACATATTTCTGTTGACTACTTACCTGTGGGTCAAAATTTTCAATTTCTTTGCCTATGATAATTTTTCCTTGTTAACATTTAGACATTTTGCATAATATAGCATAGTAACTCTCAATACTGATTCCTTCTCTTTCCCTAGGACTAGTTGTTTATTTATTTACTCACTTCACCTGACTCTGAAATTGTTTTGTCTTCATTTGAATCTTCGAATGTTGCCTCTAGGAAGGTAACCCCTCCACACTTTGCTTGGGATTCTAGTGGTTTTAGTAGGCTTCTCAGTCTGTGTTGTTACACACCCAGCTGTTAGCCTATAGTATTTGCTGGCCTATTGTTCTTTTCAGCCATTCTAAGAGGAACATTATCTACAGTGTAATTGATTTTCCTTTGAGACACAAGGTTGTCTTTGAGTCTCCTCCTTGAGGTTTCTCATCCCAGGAGGGCTTTTGTTAGCTGCCTTCCTTTAGTTGTCTCTGGTGGATTCACTGGTTTGTGGTTTTAGCTTGTTATCTTTAAGATGTTTATACCTATTCCTTATGTGCCTACAAAATCTCCATTGTTTTTGAGTAGGTGTTTAGGCTTGAACTTTTCCACTCTCTGTTCCAAATAAAGTCAGTTCTATGGGGAGAGCTTTGGAACTCTGTTTTCCTGGCCTGCTTCTCCTGGGGGAAAACCTCTATGCCACTGTTGGGTACTTATTTGGTGGGAGGGCTCAGTGACTTGGTTCCCCTTGGAATGATTACTTTATGCACAGAGTCCTGGGTGGGAACAACAGCCAGAGTTCAAAGCTTGGCTCTCTGGCTTAGAACTTCTGGCCTTTGAGTGAGGCAGGATAAACATTGTTGGGCCCCATTTTAGCTTCATAAACTTGGTTGATAGCTACCATGTCTGATGAGGGCTGGGTAATGGATAAGCACTCACCTCTTGTGCCTTTTCCTCAACAGAGCTTCTTAAGCTAGAGCTAGAAGGCATGAGATTTGTGGTAGCCTAATACTCCTAGTGAGGTATCATTGGCCTGAACTAGGTAGGAGCTGAGGGATGAAGGAATTTTGTTTTCTTGGCTTTACCCACTTGGGGTGGAGGGTGGGTCATTCTGAATTGGCCTGTGTCAGATGTGAGCAGAGAAAGGGAAGGAGAATAGGAATGATCTGCTGCACACTGTTGACATATGCTTTTGTTCTTTGTTCTTTTTTTTTAAATTAATTAATTTATTTTTATAACCACTTCCCAGATAGCACCCTCCCATAGCCTCCCTCCCCCCACTAGAGCCCATATACTCTGATATTCCTGCTTCTGTCTGCTGTGTTGTTGGCACCCCCAGCCCTTCCCCACTACTTGCCCTTCTGGTGAATCTAGTCAGCCTATCTAGAAGTCTTTGTTTTAGGAGGGTCAGTTGTTCCTCATCTAGCGGTAATCAGTTATCAATATTCCTTTAGATAAGACTGGGGTCTACTGTTGATTTTCCCAGTTCTATGCTAGGTTACTATCTGGGAATCCCTTTGGCTACCCTGGCCAACAACTCAAAAGAAGGTATCGCCCCTCTGGCATTGTTGCTTGTTATGTAGCCTTTAGCTATACATATGGACTCTTAGGAAGTTATGTTGGCCCATTTAATCTTTGGTTATACTTTCCTTTTGGGTGTTTAAGGCCATACAGTTGGCCCAGATAAACTGATTTATTTTTACTCTTAAGGTCGTTTGAGAATCTGTTCCTCAGCGGTCACATGGGCTTGGGAGGAGCCCCTGGTTCCTTTCTTTTACCAGTTCCACCTATGTGAAGATAAGTCAAAGGTCGTGCTTGACCATGGTTGGCTTTGCTTGGAAGCATGGAGGAAGTGATTCCTCTGTGTTGATCCTCCTCTTTATAGACCGGACACTGGTTCTTTTTATCTTGTGGAAACATTGGTATTTAGGGCCTCGTGCATGCAAGGCAAGTAGGTTCTCTACACTGATCTATGTCCCCAGTTTATTTCCCCCTACATTTTTATTTTGAGATGGGGGTCTCACAAAGTTGCCTAGGCACTTTGAACTATGATCCTCCTGCCTCAGCCTCTTCAGTAGTTAACATTACAGGTCTTTGCCACTGGGCAAGGTCCATTATTAATATTCTTAACCAAAACTTAGTAGATATCCTTGAGTAAATACTTATTTACTGTTGCTCTTAATAAAATTTTATGAAACCTTAAATTTCTGAGACATTAAAAGTTTTTTTTTTTTTTTTTAACTAATTAATATTCTTTCCCTGAGGAGAGTATTTGTGGAATTCTTCATATTGTGATGCTGGAAGTCAGTCTCATATTCTTTAAGCATTAAGATACTATAATCCATTGTTTTAGAGATACTACATATATCATACCACCTATTTTATGCACATTTACTATGTTCAGATACTTTTCCCCCAGAGTCGTTATGAAGTATTTATTTATGCCATTATGCATCTTTATTATATATTGGTTTGTTCAGAGCAATTATAATTTTGAGCATGTATTTATAGTACGTTATGTTACTTTATATTAATTTTATTGCTTCTGAAAAATGTTATTTTAGTTGTAGTTTTTAATTATATAAATTATAGATATGGCCAAAGATAATCTCCAGCAAAAGAATCTATACACAAATAAATACAGTCTGTCTGATTCCATTTATGTAAAGTAAAATGTAGCAGAGCCTGTCTATGCTATTAGAATCGGAATAGTAGTATTTGGGTTTGATCTAGGTTCTGGTCACTTGGTTGTATTCATTTTATGAAAATTCATTGAGTTTAAGATTATGATATATGCACCTTTGTGCATATTAATTTTGAATAAGCCTAAAGGTTCATTTAGGGGTCCACATCAATTTTGTAGTTTTAACTAAATGTAAATTGGAGTAAATTCATTTGCATTCAGCTTTTTACTTATTTTAGTATGCAAAAATCATGGTTTGACTCATTGAAGTAAACCTTTATAAATGAAAAACTCTTTCAAAATATAAATTATCAGTATTAATTCTTTGTTTAAAATTGTTTTTATTTTATATATATGAGTGCCTGCACATATGCACCACATGGGTGCAGTGCTTGCAGTGTTCAGAAGAGGGCATCGGATCCCCTGGAATTGGAACTATTGATGCTTGTTAGCTGCCATATAGGTGCTGGGAACTAAACCATGGCCCTCTGCAAGAACAGCCAGTGCTGTGAAATGCTAAGCCATCTCTTCAATCCCTAAAACTTTTTTCTGTATAATGCTACCTCAAAGCATTATAAAGATACTGAGGATCCTCAAATATTCTTTTAAAATATTAAGGCTTAGAAGTTATTTACAAGTGATTAAAACTACATGTATAATAATAATAATTACTATTATTATTATTATTGAAGGAAAATCTTAAAGTCAACACTTTATATATTATACATATATAAACCAGATTAGTTTCTTTATCCTTTGTAATACATTTCTAAATTTTATTCTGTAGGACTATTTTGAAAGAAAGTGGGTTTGCCAGATACCTTCATTCAGCTGTTCTTATCAATGGAGCTATGCTTATTTTTGGAGGAAATACCCATAATGACACTTCCTTGAGTAATGGTGCAAAATGTTTTTCTGCTGATTTCCTGGCATATGACATAGGTATGTATCTGTTAGGCTTGTATAAGGTAGGAAATATCAGAAATTTCTGTGTAAAAGGTACTCAAATACATTAATTGATATCACGTGTGTATGTCACTTTTGAGATTGATTCAGTGATAGTCTATGAATGGCATTCTCTTTAATTTCAACATAATCGTATAGCACCAAGAGATGACATGTTGGGATGAGTTAGCATTTAGAGAAGTGAGATGGCTAGGCTTGATTGTCCTTTAGATACCTTTGAATATTGTATCCCTATCAACATTGTATGAGTCTATTGGGTCTTACTTAGTTTTGATAATGGATAGCTATAGAATATTGTAAAATTATTAAAATTAGAATGATAGGAATTCAGACAGTTTAGATTTAGTAGGAATGAAGGAAACTGTATTTAATAGATGTAAGACATAACTTCGGGTCTTTGTCATCATAAAGGTACATAATCTGCTCTTTTAAATTTCATATGGCAGCACAGAAAAGAAAAATTGTCAATTAATAAGCACTTTGATCTTCATGCTATTATACATTTGTTAAAAGCAAATTTCCAGTAATAAAGCTAAGAATACTAAGCTCTGAGTGAGCTTGATTAATCGCTCAATCTTAAATAGTGAAATCTTTATATTTTTGAATAATAATAATTTAAAAAATATTTTATTATTTTTATTTTATGTGTATGTGTGTATTGCTTGCATTTAGGTAAGTGTACCCGTGTCATGCAATGCCCGTGGAGGACAGAAGAGCCTGTTGGATCCCCTGGAACTGGAGTTATAAACAGTTGTTAGGTGCCATGTGAATGCTGGGATTCTAACCTGGGTCTTCTGCAAAAACAACCAGTGTTCTTAACCACTGAACCATCTGTCCAGTCCCAAATAATAATAATTTTAAAATGATAACCTCATGATGGGCGTGAGATCATCTTAGGTTTTAGAAAGCTCACAAATCATTGTCTGAGATCCAGAAGAGCAGGTTATAACTAGACTGGCAGTGACCTTAATCATCTGTTGTTGCCAGGCTTATGTCCAGCTGCTCCTTGACAGGGATGGTAAGAGAGTGAGCTCAGTGTTTTGGAGGTAGATGGAAGCTTTATTTATTTATTTGTTTATCCATTTTTCTTCAGTGGAATATTTTTAAAGGAAAAGAATAGAATGTCATTGTTGTTGCTAAAAATCCACAAAGTGGGACTTTGAACTTTTGCATTAGATGTTTTCAATAAACTTCTACACTTAATTATTGTATTTTAATGAAGAGTATAAACTTGAGCTATTTGGTAAGTCACATACTGAGAATTTATTTTCATTATTCCATATTATTAAATATTTTAGGCTTTACTTGTCAGAAAAGCTTATAGAGGTTTAAAAAATTAGAAGTTTTTGTTTCAGATATGCATGTATTGCCTGTATGTAGGTAAGTGCACCCATGTCGTGCAGTGCCCTTGGAGGTCAGAAGAGCCGTCGGATCCTGTGGGACTGGAGTTATGGACAGTTGTTAGCTGCCATGTAGGTGCTGGTATTTGAACCTGGATCTTCTGCAAGAACAACCAGTGTTCTTAACCACTGAGCCATCTCTCCAGCCCCAGGATTGGATTATTAATGTTCTAACTACTATTTATTAAATTCATTCAAAGTACTAGTACATTCTAAGTATTAGTACATTCTAGGTACTAAGTTACACTGTTTATTTGCAAAATTGGTAACCTCTCTAAAGACCTTGTAACAAGACTTAATTTTCAGAAAATCAAACAGGTAGTAGTAACAGGTACTTGTCCAGAGCAATGTTGTTGGTAGGTGGTTGATCTAGCTTTTGTGATTCTAAAACTTGGAATCTTTTTGTTTGGATACACTTTGCTGATTGGCTGGGTCCATTGCATGTTCTTAGGCTTAATAGCATGTATTTCTTAATATTGTGGATTGATAGAATCAAATATCTGTCTCATTTTTTGAAATAAATTATTCAGACTGGAGGAATAATAGCATATTTTAAAGTTTTATAGTTTAACATAGCAAATTTTTGCCCTGTGACAACATTGACAACAAAAACATAAAGGCAATCAAAATGCAGCATAGGACGAAATTGTCTTATCTGATTATTTGTATGTGGTTCACAGTAACGTTCCATTTTCTATCTGGATTTAAAAACTCCCATTTCCTTCTCATTTAAGTAGGCCTTTTTTCTGGCACATTTAAATGAAATGCAGCTGAAGTTCTGCAGAATTTCTAATAGAGTGTATATGCCAGCACTAATTTTTCATTGTTCTAAAGTTTACTATTTCAATCTTAGTGCCATTGTGGATTTTATACAGTGATAGTCATTAATCTTTGGAAATATAATTTTGCCTTCATAGTTTTTGTAGTATATATGATAGATGTAGCCTACATAAACCAGCGATTTTCAAATATGGCTCCACTCTGGCATTCCTTTGGATAGTTGTTGAGAAATACAAAATAAAAGAAGAAAACCAGACATATATAATCTGATTTTGAGATTTAGCCCTAGGCATCTATATTTTTTGAAAAATGATTGAAGAGCCTGGAGACATGGTTCAGTGTTAAGAGCATACTGCTCTTGCTGAGGACTTGAGTTTGATACGCAGAACCCATAACAGGCAACTCCATGGTCTTTAGCTCCAGTTCAATGGGATCCAATGATGTCGATTATTCTCTGTAGGCACCTGTACTCACATGCACATTCCTATGCGTGTGTATGCGTATACACCCCCTCCCCCAACTAAAATAAAATTATAAAAACCCTTTAAAATATGATTGTAGGGGCTGGAGATGTGGGTAGTTAAGAGTGGGTGCTGCTCTTACAGAGGATTGGAGTTCAGTTCTCAGCAGTCACGTTGAGTGGCTTAAAACTGCTTGTAACTTCAGCTCCAGGGGGATCACATGCTTCTTTCTGAACTTTTCAGGCACCAGCACTCAGATGCACATATCCATACACAGACTCATGTACATACACATAATAAAAATAAAATGAAAATGTTAGAACGTGATTGAAGAACAGCTGATAATATAGCCAGAAGTGGCTGAATCTGGAGAGGTGTATGTACAGCAGGAAGCATCACTTAATGCTTTAGTTGCACCTGTAGTTAAAGTCAGATTTTAGAATCTGAAATGCTTATTAGTATTGTTGCTTTAATTGAGCAGCACGATATCATCTTTTAAGATTAAAAACTTTTGTTTGGTAAAGATAGACTTCTATTTAGAATTTAGATAATTCTGAAACAAAATGAAAAACAGCTTATTAATTACATTTCTTATTCAAAAAGATAAAAAAAAAATAGGAACTTGAAGGTGTAATTTCCTGAGTTAGATTATTTCAGAATCTGATAGGGAATAGGAATTATATGTCAGTATGTCTCACACAAAGCAGAACAGTTGGGATCTCATGTCACATTCAATTAATGGTAGTTTTAAAAATAAATTCTCTGAACATGATTTTACCCATGATATTAATTCTTTGGTAACTGATTATGTAAAAATCATTACTTGAAAAGCAACTCCATATTTGAAGAAGTAATATTTTCGTTGTGTAATAATTAATGATTTAGTATAATATTGCGTAGGTTTAAATACTTAAAACAGAGTTGTAATTTGATGTACCCTTAAAACATCACTTTACTGTTATCCTAGCTTGCTTTCTGTTGCTGTGATAAAACATTGCTTAACAAAAGCAATTTGGAGAAGAAAGGGTTTATTTACACTTCTAAGACACAGTGCATCTGTAAGGGAAATGAGGCAGAAACTCAAGGCAGGAACAGAAGCAGAGACTGTGGAGGAATGCTGTTTATTGGCTTGCATCCTCTGGCTAGCTCAACTACCTTTCTTATACAGCCCAGTCCCATCTTCCCAGGAATGGCTCTGCCTAAAGTGGGCTGGGCCCTCCCTCTATAATTAGCAATCAAGAAAATGTCCCAGGGACATGCACACATGTGATTCCTCAGTTGTGGTTCCCTCTTCCCAGGTGACTCTAGCTTGTGTCAAGTTGACAAAAAATAACTAACCAGCACACCTAGTTTATGAAACATAGCGCACATGATTTTGTACAACCCCATGGAGTGTTATATATGAATCATATAGAATGGATACAGCTTTGTAAGGCATAATTTCATGACAAAGTCATTGCAAATTAGGTCATCAGTTAGAGTAAATTAAAATTAAATAATTTAATTTTTGGAACATGCCAACAAAATTCTGAAAATTTCAGCTGGCTTCTACTTTATGCTTATAATTATTTTCATTTTCTGAATATTGTTTCATTAATCTATTTCCCTATTATATTATATTTTTCTGGATCCTCTTTGAGGGAAGTGGTACCTCTTGCCTAGCAGGAAGGAGCCAGTTTGTTTCTTTGTAAAGAAAACCCTAGAAACCTTTCACACGTCTTCAGTGAATTATACAGTTGTTCTAAGCTGCATTACATCCTTAGCTGAAGTGTTACCGTGTTTGGAGGAATTAGATATAGGAAATAGTCCTGGTCTTCCCCCCACCCCCACCCCATTCTTTAAACAGTACAAATAAATATAAGAAAATGTTAACTTCATTTTGAGAAAAGGGAGAGCTGACATTTGTCTAACATTTCCTGTCATGCTTGGTACTTCACATTTGCAATATCTATGTAGCAATACTCAGTTTATGGAGGAAGACACTGTAGCTTACCATAATTAAACCCGATGTCACACAGCTTGTAAAGGTTTAAATTCAAAGTCTGGGGGACTGGAGAGATGGCTCAGAGGTGAGTGCACTGGCTGCTTTTGCAGAGGACCCTGATTTGAATCCCAGGGCCCACGTGGCAGCTAACAACTGAACCTTAACTCCAGTTCCAGGGGAATTTTACATCCTCTTCTGATCTCTGAGGGCATTGCAATACACAAGTGCACTTACATACATGCAGGTAATACACTCATACACAAAAACAAACAAAAAATATTTTAAATTCAAAGTTTGGGTTCTGCCATTACACTATGATTCTGGTTTGTTTTTTTTTTTCTTGATACAACAAGAAAAGTTTGGATGGTCTTTTTGGGAAGAGGGCATATACATTTATTAGTGTAATAAAGACACTCAAAATAATTCCATCAGTAAATTTAATTAATACTTTTTATGGTATATTTGGATTTTATTGTACCTACCCATTCCCAGAAATTGACAGAAAATAATGACCTCAAGATAGAAAATCAAGGAGAAATAAATGACATATGAGCAATTAATGACATATTAATTGACATAATTAATGACATATTAATAAATGACATGAGTAACTGTTTCTCTTACAGCATTTTGAGAGATTGGGTTTTGTTTTGTAGGGGATGTTAGTTTTTTTTGGAAATAGCATCTTATTTTAACCTATGCTTTCCTGGGACACATTATGTAGTTCAGGCTGACCTCAAGCTCGCAATGATCTTCCTGCCTCAGTTTTCCAAATGCTGGTATTTCAGGTGTGAGCACCATGCCTGGAAAGAGATTGCTTTAAATAAGAAAATTGAAAAATTTTCTAAAGAAAATGTACAATGAGAGGAAAGTTTTAAAAAGTTTGATTTGTTTTTTTTTTGAGAATTTCAAACAGTATAATTTGATTGTATTCTCCTTTCCTCCAAGTCCTCCCAGACCAGTCCCACTTCCTACCCACCCAACTTCCCGTTTTTTCCCTCCACTCCCATTGATTTCAATTTGTGTTACCCAAATACTCTGGTGTGGAGTCTGCCCTTTAGCATGGTAGACCTACCAGGATAAACACCCTTAAAGAAAGCTGATTCTACTCTTCCCTGCAAAGAAAGTTTTTAAAAAGACCTCTGGTGGATGAAGGCAGGGAATAATTGTTTTGTAAAAAATTTACAGATCCCCTGAAACTGGAGTTACAGTTGTTAGCTTCCATGTGGGTGCTAGGAACTGAACCCAGGCCCTCTGCAAGAACATCTAGTGCTCATAACTGCTGAGCCAGCTTTCCAGCCCCAACATTATTCTTACTCATCTTGTGTACTTACCACAGTGTCATTAATGTATTGAAATAATTTAATGTTTTCTAATGTTATGACAAAAAGGAGAATTGAAATTATTCTGATGTAAAATTGTGAAGTAAAATATGTTCCATCCAGATCTTTACCTATCCTATGCATCTGAATATCTGCTTTGCTTCTCTACTGGAAAATGACTTACTCTCCATAAAAGTTGACCAAATTACATAATTCTTTTAAAAAATATTTCATTTATTATTTTTATTTTGAATGTACAAGTGTATTGCTAAGCTGTAATGTTGATATATTTGGTGTATTAAATACATTTTTGACATTTTCAACTTAGGTCAAGTTTGTTTAATATAACCCCTCATAAATTAAAGACTACCTGTACTTAAGAGTTGTAAAAAGATAAGTAAGCTAAACTAGACCCCAAAACTAAACATATTCAGTAGGTTGTACAAAATAGTCATGTTAAAAAAGATCAATGATACCATTTACTTTAGTATGAAGTTTTGTAATATCAATATCTTATATAAGTACAGAAAGATTTCTAAGAAAATATAGGATGTGTTTACTGTGAAGAAGAAATAAAATCTATAGTACAAAGGATAAAATATTGGGTATGACAAATTTGCTTAGTAGTTGCTGGCAAGTTTTATCTTTTTCCCAAAGGAGAAGTAGCTTATGAAGTTGGAAAGAAGTGTTCCAGAAGCACAATTGTAGCTAATGCTTTTTTTTTATTCTCTCATGTGCCTCTCCAGACTCTCTTTGGAAGGTCTTCTGAGCATTTTTTACAGTTTTGATCTTGCAGATCAGTTTTTCTGCTCTCTTCCTGCACAGCTTGTTTCAGATGTTAGTCTAAATTCTCTCTCCTTTGGCTCCAGGTATACCCAGGTTGTTAGGCCCTTGTCCTTTCTAGATACTAAAGGCCACAAAATGACTGTGAAGATTCTTCCTCTTTGAAGAGCTGTAGTCAACTAGTCCTGGATAAGTCTTAGTGTTTCAACACACTCTTTTATGTTAAATGCATTGTTTTAATATATTCTTTAAACATACTCTAGTTTCTGTAATTATATTTTTATTGGAATAATATAATCAAGTCATAATTTATAAATCATATATATATAGGGTGTGTGTGTTTGGATGAAATGGTTGACCTCTACTCATTAATTGATTCTAACATTTGCATTTATTTTCTTTTTCAAAGCCTGTAACATTTATAGGCTACCCTTCTGTCAAAAAGAGAATAGTATCTCAAAATCCTATTAACATATTGTATTTCAGGTATTCATAAGCCTGAATTATGAAAAACCAAAGGTAGTTAGATGAATCTTCTGAATGTTGCTTAACTTCCCATAGATAAAATTCTTCATTTATAACATAGGGTAACAACTGCTCTGTCAACCTCACTGAATTCATGTAAAGACCATTTTAAGTTATATAGATGAAATCACTTTGAAAGTTTAATTTCATGTTAGTAAACTCACATAATGCACATTTCTTAACCATAACATGTAAAATTGGCAGACTATTTTCATGTATAGGTCTTTGTTGTAGAATTTTCAGGGCTGGTAAGATGGTGAAGCTTCAAGGCTTAATAGGTAAAGTGCTTCTTGGGTCAGCATGAGCTTTAGTCCCCAGAGCCCATGTAAAAGCTGGGTGTAGTAGTGCATATGTGACCTTGTGCTACTTGAGTGCGATGGGAGGTGGAGACAGTTGAATCCCTAGAAACTCACAAGCCAGCTAGCTTGGCTTATGCTGCTGAATAACTGTTGGAAATAAAATTTGGGATTCAAGGACCCTACCCATAAGGCACAAAGAACACAAGGACAAAAGAAAGTGACTGGACAAGGCAACTTTTACCGTTGCTCAAGGATCTCTTACCTCATGGGGGAGCATGGAGGCACACAGATCAGAGAATTTGATAAGTTTTTATCCTAAAGCAAGAATACCTTGCCTTCTTCATTAGCTGGAGTCCCATTACACTTAAACTTCATTATACTTAAACTGAACACCAAGGCCCACCTTTCAATATAACATGTTTAATAATTTGAATCTAGGGCTGGGGAGATGGCTCAGCAGTTAAGAACACTGACTGTTCTTGCAGAGGACCCAGGTTCGGTTCCCAGTGCCTACATGGTGGCTAACAACTGTCCATAACTTCAGTTCCAGGTGATCCAGCACCCTCTTCTGACCTCTGCAGGCATTGAACAACATGGGTATAATTACATGCAATCAATACATGCATACACATAAAATTAAAAAGAGAAAGAATTTGAAATCTGATAAACTATCCTGAGATCATTCCTAGTCACCAAATGTGGAATTATTTGAAATTGCACAAACTGTGTTACTATATATGTTAATTTTGAGGATATTTTTAAATGATATATTTTTCCCGTAACCATTTTTCTTCCATAGTCTTCATAGAATCAATGAGTTATTTGGGCTAAAAATGATTTTTAACCTAGGTCTTATGCAGTTGAAATTATTCCCTTCTACATAAAATAAAAGCTATTCTTTTGAAATGTATCCTCTTAAGCAATTTAAATATTATATTCTGATGGTTATCTTTTCAAACATTCTGTCAGTGAATATTGCATAACTCATTTGCTATTATATGCATGCAGGCAATCTTTGATGAAGCTGACAAGTGTGCTTATGTTGATATTCATGAGATTTACTATGTGAACTTACGTGTTCAATAAAGACATGCCAATGAAATTATCTTCCAAGCAAAAAGTATACTTAATTCATTTATTTTGGATAAATTTCATACACTTAAAATTATTGCAGAGAATTTTATGCATGAATAATTTTTATTTGAAGTATCATGACAGTTGAATAATGATTCTAAATGTAGGTCATGAAAAATTAATCAATAAATCTTTTTTCTTTTCTCATTTTAAGTATTACATCTTTAGTTTGGTTAGTGATTATATTACTTCTCTTGATTTAATTTTTTATTTCTGTTTTCTTTTTCTAGCTTGTGATGAATGGAAAACATTACCTAAACCAAATCTTCATAGAGATGTCAACAGATTTGGACACTCTGCAGTAGTCATTAATGGGTAAAGGAGCACATTTAAAGTTTTTAGAGGCTGAAGAAGATCAGTAATCCTTGAATTTTTACCCATTCTGATATTCCTTTTGGCACTTTTCTTTGATTCTTAAGACACTGAATATCCTTACTTTTTTGTGGAATATGTTTTTGTTTGTTTAACCATATCCTCCATTGCTTTTTAATTCAAATTTATGTGAGAATATGGGCATTGTTAAGGAAAGGTTCTGAGAGAGAAGGAACTAGTAAGATCATTGTGACTCCTTTTCTGAGAGATCCTGAGGGGAAAGACTCTTCCTTTAAAAAGATCTGAAGAAAGTGATGGGAAGTAACCTCCTGTTCTACCCAGGAGAACACTGAACTGAGAATTATATTCATATTTTAGTTCTACCATTTCCTACAGATGTGATTTTTGTTATCTCTAGGTTTTTGATCTCTCTAGTCTTTAATATTTGCATATCCTCTGGGATATTGGAGTATGTAATTAAGAAGTTTATATAGTTCATAGATAATCTGTCTTGTTTTGTGCTTTACTTTGTTTTTGAGACAAGGTCTTGTACTCTAACCCAGCTGATCGTGAACTCACTAGGTCGTTCATGTTAGCATTGAACTCATGGTAACCCTCCTGCTTCAGCCTCTAGAGTGCTGGGATTATTAAGTATGAGGCACCATGTCTAGAGAGTTTTGTTTCATTAGGAAAATTTTGGTAATTTTAGATTTACATGATAATAATATACAGCTTATTCAGTAGCTTAAACTATTCATAATGATTTTTTATGTTTATTATCATCTTATCCTAATTATGTCCAATTTCCCTACTATTGCCACACAGGACTTGTTATCCACAATGCAGCATTGTAATTGATATCAGTTGACTTTTAAAGCAATAAGAACTGAAAGTCAATGTGAAATCTAAAACCTCCAAGCTTCACTGTGGAAAATTATATTTGATTCTGATTTTCTTTGTTTAACAATAAAATTTTTAAAGCATTTTTAGACCAATTTGTTTTTATATGAGTAATAAAAGAACAAAAAGATCTCTATATTTATTTGACTTCTAAATTCTATATCTTCAGTAGGCATGATAATTCTTGTCTAATGCAGTTGCACATGATTTTTAAAAAATATTTTTATCATTTTTAATTATGAGTGTTGTGTCTGTGTATGTGCATTTGAGTATTGGTGTCTAAGTAAGAGAGACGCATTAGATTCCCCTAGAGCTGGAGTTACTGGCAGTTGTGGGGCCTGATGTGGATGCTGGGAACTGAGCTCCAGTCCTCTGGAAGAGCAGTGCATGCTCTTGATTGCTCAGCCATCTGTCCAGCCCTGTGGCACATGATTTTTATCTTGGCCTGAGGTTGGAGAATCAATGTCAGTTTGGGCTACAAGTTCAAGTCCATCCAAGAATACATGTAGAGACTTTGGGAAACAACAAAATAAACCACAACACAACACAAAACAAACGCCCAACATTAAAAGAGGAAAAAAAAAAGAAGTAATTCTAGATGGCAATTCTAAAGTTTATCTTAATATTCATGGATAGCTATTACATATTTCTTGAAAAATTTCTTCATACTTTATTAAAAATGATAATATTCCTTCTGATAAAAGAACTGTTAGAATTCTTGTTCCTTTTCTCATATAAGTAAGAAATAGCTTTTGAAAATGTCATGTTTCATTACAACATTAAGATCTATACACTATCTCAGATTTTACTTAGAAAATCTTGAAGAAATCTTACATAGTTTATCTTGGATTTTCACAGTATATTGTATGTTAGAAATATGATTTTAAAGAACATTTGTGACACAAACACTAATAGTGTTAAAATGTATAGTTAAACTTATTTTAAAAATTAGGGAGACGAGCCTGTTAGATTGCTTCATTAAGTTTCCTTATTTTATTTTTAATAGGTCAATGTATATATTTGGTGGATTTTCTAGTGTACTCCTTAATGATATCCTTGTATACAAACCTCCAAATTGTAAAGCTTTCAGAGATGAAGAACTCTGTAAAAATGCCGGTCCAGGGATAAAGTGTGTTTGGAATAAAAATCACTGTGAATCTTGGGAATCTGGGAATACTAATAATATTCTGAGAGCAAAGTGCCCTCCTAAAACAGGTGAGTTTTTTTTTTTCTTTTCTATTCTATTCCTTTTCTTTCTGGTTTTAAAGTCTATTTAAAGCAGAAATTACTTTGCTTATTAGAATTGCCTTATTTCGGAAAAAAATTTTATAATCTTCTAATTAAAAAATTGGATACATGAACTATATAGTAATTAATCATTATCTTTGTTAGCTGTTTTTAGTTTTACTTTTATAATTTGGGTGTATTTTATATGTAGCATGGTCATATGTAAATTCCTTTATAGTATA